CGCCAAAAGAAGTCAATAACAACCTATCTTCATCAATACGTACAGTATCCGTAGATCTAGATGTCTTTGGTATAGGAGAGAAGGGGGTATGTTTAAGGGTGTTGGAGGGTAGATTTATTTTCTATGAAAATGTTTTCACGTCTCCATCGACACAATTGAGATAATTATTTCAGGAGGCGGCATTCGACCCAGCCTGTCAGGGCGAACCTGGGCTGAGAGTTAAACAACGCGACTTAAAGCGGACACCACGAGTTTTGCATACCTAGGATTGATTCAAATACTAGATGACAAATCGGGGATTTGTGTTGTTTTGTGTAAGTGTGTGTTTGTTTGTGTGTATGTGTGTTTGTGGTTTTTTTGTGAGTATGTGTGTGAGTGTGAGTGTATGCGTTGAACTTGGGGAGTTCGATATTGTGACTTGATTGTTACAGTTACAATAGCACTTCCAAGAGGGCGGCATTGCACTAGCATTTGCTCAACGCCCTTGTCGGCAGCTCAGTTATAATCTTGATATAGCCTGATATAATCGTTTTCATAGAAGTGTTTGTGTTCTTTTTATATATCCTTAAATAGAAGCAGGACTCTTTCTAATTTAACGTCTCCTGTCAACCCCATCCCTTTTTCCTGAAGCCTCACTCCTCCTCACTTTTTCCCCCTCCCCTCCCCGCCTCCAAGAAAATGTGTTTTAAAGAATCATGTTTTTACGCTTTTATCCACACGGTTTAGATTAGTTTGGCCGAACCGGGGCTGAGAAAGATACAGTGTCTCTGCAGAAAGACCGAAATACTCGATAAAAATGCTGCCCCACTCTGGAATCGAACTCGGGTCTCCGATCCTACGTGCTACAATGAAGCGCCTAACCGTTACACCACAGATGGTCCAAGAAAATGTAACAAGACAATGACGTTATGTTCTTCAATACAAGAGTAACGTTTGTTCTGCGTGCACACTTATCATATTATTGTACATGCACACGGAACGTCACTGCGCTTCTTTGTCTTGTCCTGATATCTGGGATTGTTATTCTGGCGTGGACTCAAGAATTACCACCCTCGCGGGTCACAATTTTAGGACGCCGAAAACATGTTTTTATCTCTTGAGCTATGCTTTGCCCTGTTACACCAAGAATGTTTTTTTTCTCACTGTCAATGTCCGGTTAATGTGCGTGTTTTCTTTCTTTTTTTTGTTGTTGTTGATGTTGGGTAGTTGGCTTTTGTTTTGTTTTTTTGTTGGTTTTTTTTTTTGGTTCCGGATGCAACCCCCATAGGTCATAACGGGCAAATGAGAGGTGGGCCAGAGGTAGCAGGAAAAGCACAAAGGGGCCTAAGTTACCTTTCTATTTAGATTTACTGTCGGTCTTCGTTTTTTCAACGTAAAAAGTTAAAATGGGATGAAAGCAGGTGAAGGGATTCTGTGATTTCGCAAAGCACTTGCGCGCACACACACACATAC